CATATGGCTCCACAAACCACTACACAGAATCTCTCCTCATATAACCAACCTATATGTAACCACTGACTCACAGGATCAGTATATGCACAGACGTTTTCATTCTTAAATATAACACACACAGTATTGTTAAAAGGCAGCCTGACACCTGTGAAGTGTCAGGTATCCATCAGGTCCTTAAGTCAAAATCACTACTTAATAAACAAGCAGTTAGCAGGAATGTGTTTTTAATGTGTGCATGAGTATAAACATTTCTCAATCACATTAAACCTAAGAAGTGCTGAAGAGACTATGATTACTCTTCTAAGCTTTTTGCTTCTTACAACAAGGTCACAGTATTTGGTCACATGACCCAACTACAGTATTAAAACCACTGACAGGTGAAGTGAAAAACATTGAATATTTGGTTACAGTGGCATCTGTCAAGGAGTGGTTTATATTACACAGCAATCTGCGATCTGAGGCAATACAACTGAGCATCTCCAAGACAACAGATCTTGTGGGATGTTACTGGTATGCAGTGGTTAGCATCTACTAAAACTAGCAGGACAACAGGTTAACCAACAACAGGCTCGTGGGCATGGAGGGTCATTGTTACATGTGGGGAGTGAAGGCAGGCCTGTGTGGTCCAATCCCACAGAACAGCTACAGCAGCACAAACAGCTAAAAATCCTAATGCTGCCTATGACAACAAGATGCCAGAACACAGTACATCAGAGCTTTCTGCGTATAGGGTTGTGTAGCCTCAGACTGGTCAGAGTGCCCATGCTGACCCTTGTCCAAAAGTAACTGACATCAAGTAAATAGTTGGATGCATGTGCGTTGTCTACTTGGGTAAGAGATGGCAGCAGTATGTACTTTGGGAAGAAAGTAAGCCAGCAGAGGCAGTTTCATGCTCTGGGCAATGTTCTGCTATCACAGAGTTCAAGGTGTTGACATCAAATTCCCCAGATCTCAATCCAATGGAGCATCAATGGGATGTGCTGGAAAAACAAGTCCGACCCATGGAGGCCCCACCTCCTCACACCTTCCAGGATTTAAAGGATCTGCTGCTAACGTCTTGGTGCCTGATACCACAGGACACCTTCAGAGGCCTGTGGGGTCAGACTTGTTTTGGCAGCACAATATTAAGCAGGTGGCTTTAAATCTGTGGCCGATCGCTGTATATAAAATAGGTGGATGAAAGACTTTTCTTATGTATTTTTTTAAAACTTATTCTACCACTCTAAGGCAGTAGCATACACTGATATAAGTTTATCTGTTTTACATGCATGTATACACTTATATAGAGGATTGTGATCTCATATTAATACAATTATGGCAACATCATTTTATGTTTATTTTGTTGAATGATATAAATACACAATTTAAGCAAAAAAAACATAATTTTGATGGGAAACAACACAATCAAAAAATAATAGTTCTTGCAATCTCTCTGTTTAAGAGAAACTCAGACTATTTTTCTTACAAACTAACCCAAAAATGTCAGACATTACATTATTGCAATTCTTCAGGAAATCTGCATGTTACATTAGCAGATATTAGTCTGCTATTGTCAAGCGAAAAATATTGTCTATAAAAGCTCTAAATATGAACATAAATGACAAATATAAATTCAAGATCAAATGTTGACAACAAAAAGCATGAACCTCCACATCTTTCCTCTCCATTAACATATAGTACTATTGTTAAATATACTTCAAATTACACTTTACTTCAGATAATGCTTGAGCAGTCTTTGCTATAAAAGTGTTATTGTTTAAATATAAAGCCAACAAATATTAAAATACGAGTTATGTGTATTTGGGCTAAACCTAATGTGGCTGCCTCACCATGACAGTGGCATCAGTGCAAAGAAATTACGTCCAAGAAGAATAGGTTATTATTATTATTATTATTATTATTATTATTATTATTATTATTCAGAGCGATTTCCTTTTTCTGCAATCAGCCAAGCAGAGGTCTTCACTGTCACTAATGCTTTGGTCTTTGGTTTGTGTAGGGATTACTCTAAACCGTTTAGTGAAATGATGTGTGATCACTGCACTGATACAATCTTTTCAGCCCTAAGCCTCGTGCCAATTACTGCAGGGAAACAGGTTTTCTGTCACATCCTTTCACCTGCTGCCTAGGCTTAACTTTGGCCTGTGACAGTGACCAAGCAAAAGAAATCTGGCTGGATATCCTGCCTGCCCTAAACTGATAGCAACTCATAACCAGAAATATTGTAAGATGTGGTTGTGTTCCTTGAATAGACCCTCTACTACACTGATAAAAGAAGATTCTGTAACAAAAAAATTATTCCACCTATCGCAAAAGCCCTCTTCCCTCACACATAACATAATCACAGAATAGAACAGCACTAAGCCGACAAACATCAAGTTTGGTACCAGTAACGAGGCAGCCTCAGCCACTAGCCACGGCAGTGTGACCTTCAAGCCCGGCTGTTGTTATTTTCCATAGAGGTCAGCAGCTAAGAATGTGAAGCATGCAGAGCCCGAAACATGTCTTTCTCTTCCCAACAACCCCCACCACTTTTTTGTCAAATATTTTTTTGCGGCTTCTCTACATACAGTACCTTCATTTATGTTTGTTTAGAATAGATTTACATTTCAAAGCGTACCGTAGGGTAACTCCATCATCCTCTATGTCTTGTCTTGTCTTTTGCTCTTCTAGTCCCACACAGTTATCTTTCCCAGTTTGTGGCAAACAGAATTCTGGGCACTAAGGAGGATGTCAAAGTGACGTTGGTCAGTATTTCCAAGGGCAATAATCATTGGAGAGACCTGAGAAAAAATAGGAGAGCTATTTTAATCTGTTTCCCCGCAGGATATCCTGGGACAGCATGTAGATTTTCAAATAGAAGAACTCACAACAGATACTAACCGAGTGTGCTCAACCTCATGGGCATTCGCTTTGTTAAACTGTGCACAACATGAAACTACAGGCTGCAGTTAGACATGATCCATAATTCATTATTCTTTTAATTATCATTTTAAAAAATGGGGGGAGGGACAGCTACTTAAAGGTTTGTAGTGATACAAATGTAAAACATATTGGTTTTGGAAAACACTTAAAAGCAATCCCTGCATTTCTCAAGTGTCTAAATGTCATGTAGACACTGTAATGTGTCTATAATCATAGAAAGACAGTATACTTGAAAATGAAATACATCTGGATGTACTAAATATTAATGTGGACTGATCATTATAGAACTACTGGGGAAACATTGCTGAGTGTTAGTTATATACACAATTAGCTGTGCAACAAAATTATTAATGTAATAATTTAATTCAGCACCAGACAGCAGACAGAAAAAGTGACTGAATGGTGCAGAAAAGCATCTCGTTAGCTAAAGACCCAGATTTTTTTTTTTCTTCCAAAAACGAGTTACACTCAGCAAGACACGACTCCAAACGAATGCTAATGATGTTCCATGTCTGCTGGATGTATTTTTAAAAAAGCAAATCCTTGTCAAGGTTGCGTCTCTGTCAGCTTGTTTTGGGTTTTGCTGTCCAGTGAAATTCATCAGTGCAGTTCTGAAGTTATTTAGCTAAAAGGCTATTACGGCTAAAAGTTTAGAATTCTGGGTATTCTGTCCTGTCTTAATATACAGGAAAGGTCTTCACAGATGCACATAGTTCCTAATAACTGAGACCTGACTAATGACCCTAGCTGGGCTAAGTCTAAACACTTTTCAATCCATTTATTTTGCTGTTCTATGGCTGGTTTCAGCTCTGTGTCAGTATTTCTGATGTTGGATTCCAGAGTACCTACTAGATGCTGTGATCTATGCTACTCATTGTAATTCCTGCTTTGTTTTAATCACAAGGACAAAATCTTTTCAAAAAGCAAGAAGAATTGACAAGTCTAGAATGAAATAACAACATATATTATACTCTGTGAGATACTGTGACCTTGTTGAATTGTGGCATATCATGCTGCAGCCAGATCTAGTGTTCTCTCTGTCTCTCTCTCTCTCTTTCTCTCTTTCTTTCAACCCTCATTTTGTTTTGGATGCAATAATCCTCAGGTCATTTTAAGTCTGACTGGTCTGACCGTCCTCAGGTCTTTTTTGGGGAGCTGTTTTTTTGGAACATTCATACAACCAATACATGAAAGCCTCACAACGTTCATTTAACTTTTGATTAATGCCACCATCTTTGTCAATATCGTCAGATTGATTAACGCTGTCATTGTCTGTCAATATACATTTAAGCTGTAAACAATCTTTTATGCTACTAAACAGACTGTTTTAGTAGTCAGCAGGCTATTCACCCCACAAATTCCCTTTATTGCATTTATTATGCATAGTAGAATAAATACAAGTAAGAAAAGTGACTTTTAGGCTCCTGGTCATTGTCATGCATACTTGAATATCACACATTTATTATCATGTATTATTGTTAGAAATATAAGTGTACTATAATTATATGTTTTTACATTGCAAACTCGTCCACAATCTTAAATTCTCCTTCGCCAGATGATCCAGTTGTTTATGTTACTATAATTTGAGTAAGAGTACAACAGATTATTGGTTTTCAAGTCAACTGCTGTCATTTGAAGCAGCAGGGGTAAATTCTGTCTGCTGTGGAGTGAAGACATCACCCTGTCCTGTTGCTTCCTGTGTGTGAAAGTGTCTGTGTGTGTGTGTGTGTGTGTGTGTGTGTGTGTGTGTGTGTGTGTGTGTGTGTTTATTTCTGGACATGTGAGATGTCTGAAGAAATGAACCAGAGAAAACAAGACATACCCTGAGAGAAGGAGAGCAGCTGAGTCTACACCAAAGATGAACCACAGACCAGGCAACACATCATAAAATTCAACAAACACAACACACCCCCACACACGCATGTGCACACACACGTACACACAGAGAAAAATAACAGCTCATGTAAGGAAAACCTGTAACAGTGCTACAGTACCGTACAGTTTAGCGAAGTTTAAATCAGAAAGTAAAACTTTTATATTGATCCTGGCTGAAAAGTTGTTTGTGAGTAACTCACCCTTTTCCACACAAGTCTGCTTGTTGTCAGTCCTTCATTCCAGCTAGGCAAGTTTGTTCCTCAGATTTCTTTCGTCTCAAGATGGAGGCAAAAACTCTCCAAACAACAATTCCTTTGCTCAGAGTTTTTTGTTACTGAGAATCTACCAGGTCCAGTTCTGCTTCTCTCCTGCTGACTGCTGCACGAGCTGTTAACATGACAACATTGATAAACCACCAGTTGGAATGAGACCAGAAGAGCAGTGAGTGCTGAAACACACAGGTGCATGCAGTCTCCCAGCGAATACAAACAGAGAGAGGCAGACAGCTCAGAGGAGCACAGTATGAAACGGCTCCTTTGCCAGTGGTTCCCCTTGTGTGGGACTCCAACCTTACTCCACCTACCTCCTCCTCCCTGCCCTCCCCTCCCTCTCTCCCAAACAGTTTCAAGACATAACAGAAAAGCACTCAGAAGTTGCTGTTTCTTCAGCTTTTTGTCCTCAACTGTTGTACATAGGATACAAAGCTCTTGTCTTTTTGCTTGCATAAGACACAAAACAACTTATGTACAATAAATTGGAACGATAAAGTTTTTCATACAAAAAGCCCACCCCATTCCAGACAAAATGACAGCAAACTTTGGTACAAACTGAAAACCAGACCTTCAAGTATTCCTTAACAATATCTTTGCAGAGACCAGCAGTAGAGAGACTAGGAAGGAGATGGAAGCACTAACGTTTTTAATGTTTGTCTTTAAGTTATGCAGCAGTAAAAAAATACAAAAAATAAAAAATCTGTTTTTATTGTGCAAAACCTTGCTTATCCATTCCCATTTTGAAAAGCATAATTATTTCTCTTTTTGTTTAGGAGTCAAACCTTTACAAAGTTGACTCATCAGAGTGATTCACTTCAATCAAAAATGTAGTCTATGCCTAAAGGTCACCGAGCATGGCAATGTCACATCTTCTGCTTGTGATGTCCTGACAAACAGTATTTTAAAGAATGCATTTCGTTAACAGCCCCTTCTTGAGAATTTCAAAACGACTGAATGCAGTGATCACATGCATTAGTGCTTAGCACTGTGTGAACTCAGCAAAGCAGATGCTTGTCGTGATGATGTGGAAATTTCAGTTTTATAAAAAGAGGTATAAGGAGGGCTTTTGGAAACATCAATCAATGCCTCCCTTGGGCAAATGCTGGCCTCAAACAGCTTCTGCTAGCTCTCACTTGCCTAATTTCTGAAAGATCCAGCAGTGCTTACATGAGTCAAAGCAGCAGAAGTGTTTTACAATAACCAAAAAGTCAGTCTTCTATTTGGTAACACCATTTATTTATTTATTTTGCATGAAAGTTGCTCCAGAAATCCAAATTCAAGTAATATTTGTGCCCTGCTCAGTTTTATTTAGTCTAAACTTTGCTAACTGAGGAGCGCTATACTAGAGGTGGCATCTCTGTTAACGTGGCATCTTATTTGCTGCAGTATGTTCATATTGCCCCGTTCTTGTACTCTGAAGGCGCTACAGCCCATGTTGATAATATGTAGTGGCCTCACTAACTCGTGACAGCTGTGTCCAACCTTATTATTGGTCAGGATGACTAGCTCTGTTGTTCAAAGGCAAAAGGCTACATCTGTAATTACAAAAGCCCTTCAACGTAAAATCATCTTCAGATAAATTTACATTTCACTGATATTAAAAACGAATGTCACTTTGTTAAACTGGCTTGGCTCCATGTATTTGTCGGCCTTGCTTTACTTGAGTGACAAGCAAACGGGTGACTTCAAACTTGTCCTTATGTTGCTGTAAGACAAAGGTGTATCTAAAAATCAACAAATGGCCTCGCTTTTATTCTGTCCTTGATATGTCTGTTAACTGCATTGAATCCAAACTGCTTTTACACAATTAACATGATGTAATGACAGCAACGTGGTTCAGCAACAGAAGTAACTTAAAATGTTAGTTTCATCTGTGACATGTGAACAAAGTGAATGACAAAGGTTTGTTTTAATGACGGTGTAATGGATTAGATCAGTGCTACAGTTCGTGCAGGTCCAGTCCTACACACAGTATTAACTTGACACATAAGTGTAATTTTCTCTCAAACTCAAAAGAAAAACGGACACAAAGTACTACATGGCTGCGTCTTCTTGAACAACAAGCTCCCATCACACAGCCATCTTCTGATACACAGTATATGCAGTTATAGTCCAATATGCTATCTGGGTCATATCTTCTACATTAGGACTCCTTTGTACTTTTGCCATTAACCAGCCTTAGCACTGCAGAGCAAAGTCGGATCTCTGACTCTTTACCTACTGACTTAAAGGAAATAAAGATTTCAGTTCCCCCAGTGTCCCAGCTGATGTTACTGCCCAACAAGAAGCCTGGCACACATATAGGACAGCCCCTTTAGACACCTCTTACTTACAGCAGACTGCCACAGCTGTTCTGCAATGTATCTGAAAACCCTGAATGGGTCCAACAAGGAGACAGGAACCTAATACCATTGTCGGAACTTGCCAAGAGAATTGTTTACATCGGGGACAGAATGGCTAAAGGTCCCACAACCTCATTTCAACACTCCAAGTAAAGTAATACTAGATTTAAATTCATTCCAGAAACATTCACAGAGAACAAACTATGCCGACAATCCGGACTGGTCAAACAAGAATGTTCATGTCACTCAGGAATATTTAACGTGAGCTTTCCTTACAAACAAGCTGCAGCTCCATAACTGTGGTGTGGTAAAACACAGATGGATGCTGTTTTGATTAATAAGCTGTGAGGAAGTAACTAATTATTTAATAAACTCAGCAATGAAATTACAAAAAAAGTACAGATAAGCAATTTTAATAACCATTTATGTAATAGTTACATATTTTCTAATCAACATATTTTTATTAACAAATCAAATTATTTTTACTGCAATGTGAAAGCTATCCCTCATAGGACTAATCCCACATGCAGTAGAATTATCACCCGGCTATGCAGCTGTTCCTGGTTTTTCACTTGCATTTTGGCATCTTTCAGATCATTGTTGGACGGACCATTGTAACTCACTTGTTTTGATTCACTCTCACTGTATGAAAATCACCCTATCAACTTAATGAGGACGTCGGTGTTTAAAGCTTGTTGCACTGCCCCACGCGGCAGAAAAACAAATGAATGTAGGTTCAAAGGAATATCTCCACATGGTTCACTGGCTGTCTCTTCTGTGTGTGCACTGAAAAAACAATGTGGTGTTCGTACAACCCTGGTTCTGAAATGGGAAACAAACAAAGTGTCTCGGAGTGATCCACCGACACTATTCCTGTGAGTCCTGTGCAGGTTCGAGCTTGTGCACAGGACAGGGGGATAGGGAGGGGGAAAGGGAGAGTGACAGTAAACGTGGTACATTCCAACTATCTAAATATGCAAAATAGTGAAATGTCAACAATCTGTCTCACAGACTCCACCTTTAGCTAAATATACCAAACATCCACTTAGTTCCATGTTTAGACCAAGAGATTGTTGTTGGCTAAGACAGTCATGGTCCTACATCAGTTTTCTTCTAAAACTGACAAACAAGCCAGATTTAGGGGGGGGGGGGGGGGGGGCAAACAAGCCAGATTTAGGAAAAAAAAAAACATCCATGTGGGGTATTAAGCAAAGCAATGCTACAGATGCACTTCTTGAGTTTTCAACCATAATAATGATGCTGCAAGTCTCAGGCGATCAAAAACAAGCACATGAGGGAAGGCTAAAAAGATTATTTTTGTCCTAGCTCACTGTTCAACATAGATAATGATGGCCTGCCACTGACAACTCCAATTACTTAGCTGAGGATTGGTTATTTAATTTTAAGTGAGGGGAAAGTGGCTGCATATCCTATAAATAAATTTAATCTAAAAGTATTTACATCTTTTTCTTACATTAAAGTGTTAATGTTTACTTAAATTCTAAATGTCTATTTTTGTTTTTTAAAACCAGAATAATAAAAAAGTAACTAATTAACTGGAATTTGTGATTTTGATGACAAAGATTATCATAACTACACATATAAGAAATAACTGGGTTCTATGTAGACCATGCCCACTTTTCACTAAAAAAAAACATCCTGTAACAAATTTAAAATATCAGCTGTACTTACATAATATATAAAAGGTCAATTTTTAAAACTATTGTCACAGCTTGTACCTGTTTTATGTTTCTTAAATATTGTGGTTTCTGAAAAGCAGAGATAACTGAAACAAAAAACAGTCTCCAACCATTTCAGTATGTAGATGAGAGCTGAACACTCACCTGCTACCTGCAGAGATGTTGGTCAGTCCTGCCACTGCTTTCAAAGCCCTGCAGGGGAAAGTATATATGTAGAATAAACCATCAAAACCAGTCAGCAACAAGGACATTTATTTTCCTCACACTGTTTTGTGTAATGCAAATGTTTTACAAGATATGTTTTGGTATTCACTGTTTTTTCCTAAACCAGTCACTGGGCTTATTGCTGGAGGGCTGATCTCAAAGGAATCCCCCAAACTAACTCTGAATATTTCATTAGCATCAAAAATAATTATTACAATAAATATTTTTGATGATGGCAGCTTTATAAATATGCTACCATGATGTGGTCATTATTTTAAAGCAAGCAAAACAAACTATACTTTCAAACATGCCCCCTAGTGAGGTTGGCTGATTCAACCATCTTTTCAAAAGCTCTTAATACGACACTAGACATCAAGATTTTTTTAAAATACTGAAACCTCAGATTTATCAGTTTAAAGTCAAATCACAACTACAAACTGTATTTCTCATCTTTCCTCCTGAATTTAATGCACAGAAGCAGGAGTGTAAATCAGTGAAAGACGAAGCGTAACAACACAGCTCTTGGCTTTTTGGGACAAACCCACCACACAGAGTTATAATGTTAATCTATATGGGGCACAGAACAAAAAAAAAAGTTTAGAAACTGATGGCCCGTGGTTTACGTGTGTCTATTGGCGGTAATTAATGCCGGACTGCTACTGACATTGGTCAATAGCACCACCTAGTGTTTCTCATTGTGTGTGCATGTATGTACTGCATGTGGAGGTATATGTGAGAGAGACACAATGAGAGAGTGAAGGATCCTGACATATTAGAAGCACTCAGTTTAAAGATAGTGGTCATTAAAATGAGAATGCCTTGTCTTAAATTTCAGTTTTCTATTTTTTAAATGTTACTTCAACATTTTCCAATATAGTTACTATGGATATAACTAACTTTTGTTTTTCGTTGTCAATTAATCTGTCAAGTATTTTCTCTATTAATTGATTTGCTATTGGTCTGTAAAATGACAGAGAATGTTAAAAACATACTGATGTTGGTTTCTCAAAGCCTAAGATGACTTCCTCAAATGTCTTGTTTTGTCCACAACCAAAATATTCTCAGTTTACTGTCACAGAGCATTAAAGGAATGAGAAAATATTCAAGTATAAGAAGCAGGAATCTGAGATTTTTCTCTCTCTTTAGCTTTTTTAATGACTCAAAACGATGAATTGATCATCAAAGTAATTGGCAAATAATTTAATGGTAGACAACTAATGAACTATTGGATTGATCTTTGCAGTCCTGGCTACTAGTTAGGTTTAAAATCATCTTTAGTTGATTGTGACCATGTGCGTAGGATTTTTAGAGACAGAGACAAAACTTTTCCCATTTTCCAGGGTGTTCAGGATGCCACTTGTTGGCATTTCAGTACACAGGTTACCTACCAATATCTTAATCAGTTTATATATTTATATACTAACTCAGAAAGTATCATCAGACTGCAAGATGTGAGAGAGAGATTCTACTGTGTCACATTTCAGTATACGGTCACATTTCAGGCAAGTTATAAATGACATAAATCTATTTGGCTGGATGTTAACTTTCAAGTTCACAGTCATCATTTACTTTGATAAAGTGTGGCGATATGTTCTGCCATTCTCAGACTAGGAACATTATTTTCCCCTTAAAACATTTTTTAAAATTGAAGGAACGTGACTAAATATATGTATTTGTCACGTGTAGCTACCACAAACAGTGACTTGTGGATGTGAATTTAAGGTTTACATCAACATGTTTGAAAAATGTTGCCAGGGGTCAGCAGCTGTATGTTCAGACGGTCATTTACTTACACACAAGCATTAAAATGAGGCCAGCAGAAGTAATGGCGACAAGTAAGACACATTGCAAGTTATCTTGAAATGAATGTTTTGGATGAATTAAGCGAGTTGTGTTTCTCGTGACACAACTAGACGCCACAATTAACAGTATGAGTGAACATACCTTCTTACGTTGCGATGACACAGTTGTCTTTCTTCCCCAGCTTCTTGTATTAGTGTCACGCTGCATAAACATCTGTGAGCTAGAAATGCTCCGGTCTGTGGGCACCATGCTAACAGCTAGCTAAGAAAGTTACAGGTGCTTCCCTTGAATGGCCTCCTAAATAATGACTACTCTTGTAATTTGTAAGACAAAGATTCGGACTGCTGCTGTTTTAGTTTTTATATTCTCAATTTGGTTAATAGTTGGAATTGTTTTACTTTTTTATTTTATTTTATTTTTTTTAAGCAGTGCAGCGTTTCAGCACCTGTAAAACGTGCTCAATGACGCAACACAAAATGTCTCACCTGAGTTACCGAGAGAAGGTAACCATGGTAACTCTGGCTAGCAGGCTAACCGTTAGCTAGCTGTGCTGTTAGCTAGTAGGCTAAAGTAAGTTTCAAGTAGTCCTTGTCTATCTGTTAATATATATTTGAAAATTATAATTCATATAATTTACACATATAGCTATAAACTTACTTCAAGGTGTCCAAACATGATTCTTCTTTCCGGTTGGCTGGCATGAAGGAGTATGGTTTATTTTAAGGGCAGGAAAAAAGAAAAAAAAAAATGGTGCTAAAATGGAGAGCTGCAAGAAAACAATAACAAAAATTAAATAAAATACAATTATTATATAAATAGTCTCAGAACTAATAGAGTGTTCTGCTTTTTGACTTACAAAGCTGCATGTTAACTCACTGGACCGCCTTACAGGGACACCTAATGGAACTAAGACCCCATTAATGTGTTGAAATACACCTTTAATGTTCCTGCTGTGGCATATCATGTAAAACCTTCTAGCCATTTAAAACTAGGGTAGGCTATATTTTTTTAGAAATTGGTCTTTTCTTCTGCACCACCTCCTGCCTCCATTTTCAGGCTTTAGAAAGTGGAGCCCATGATGACAGATTTTAGTCAGTTACAGGGCTTTCTACTAATCCGATCAGCCTGTATAAGTAGGCAATAAAGTCAATGGTGAGAGCAGGATGTGGTGGTGCACATGGGTTCGACAGAGGACTTTCACTTGAGAGGATTCTAATTGTTCATCAAACATAGGCTACTGTTTTTCCACATTTTAAGCGTGTTGTGGGAGCAGCTTAGGACAGATTTCCGACTGCAGCCTAAAGCAAAACTGCCTCAAACTGATGAGCTGCTCAGTGCACAAGATGTAGGTGAAGAACAATGACAATGTAGAGAGATACGGACAAGGGATATAATGTTGTGGACTTGCAAGAAAGTAGGAAAGACTTGCATCATTCTCTAAATCAGTCAGTGGTTTAGGTAAAAAGGTAAAAAGGTATAAAGTTTGACCATTTTTGTTTGGAGTCATTTGAAGTGCAGCACTCCAACAAAGGAAAAAATGCAGGTTTTATACAGAAAAAATGGATAAATATTATTACACTACATAAAACTCTGGTAAAAAAAATTGTAAAAAAATTTAAAAAAATTTTACTATGATAAGACAAAGTTTACAATCAAGGATATCATAATTTCTGAAGTGTTTCACATTTAAACAAGGATTTTTAAATGATGAGAAGTTTAAGACAAATTGCTTTTGCTTAGTGAACACTTGAATCTGGTGGAAAATGGCACCATCAGCAGCACACTGACAGGTTTATGGTAAAGTTGTGGCTGGTTTGCAGCAAAGACATGAGTTTGCCAGTGCTGTCCATTAGTGGCAAAACATTTTAGCAACATTCTAGAAATAATGAGGAATTTGCAAACTGTTTTCCAGTGGTGCTCAACTTCTAGTAACAAGTTTGTAACTCTTTGCTAACTCGTTAATGTTTGCCATAGCTATCATTTCTGGCAGTAACGGTGTTATTAAAGCCAATTGTTTGCAGCAGACTTTCTGCCGATTTGCAGAAAAGACAAACGAGTTTTCCAGGAAATGTGGGCACTACTTGCAAACATGTTCACCAGTGTTTTGCCACCAGTTTGCCAGCAGGGCTAAATCTTTAGCAATCCTCTGCTAACAAGTTTGCCATCAGTGGCAAACATTTTTCATGGGTAGCATTTCTGGCATTAATGGTGTTATTCAGAGTTTTCCTGACTGGCTTCATCATTTCTCAAGATTGATTTTCTTTGGGTTCGAACCTGCGTGTTGGCTTTTCTCCAAACTTGTAGCAAACACACTCCGAGTTTGCTGCAAATTTAATTTACATATGACAATGTGACTTTGCAGCAGATGTGTGGCAACATATGTGACAAAAGGTTGATTGCAATTGCAAGAAACTGACAATGTTTGCAATACTGCAAATCCTCAGTCAGTAGTTCCAGTGTTTATGCATGTTACTGTCTACTTATGTTTTTTTTTTTTTTCCTATAGAACAATAACCCCACTGTAGAACCAAAAAAATGAAACGCAGCCCTTCCCGGGTAATGTTTTTACAGAGCACATACAGGCGGATATGTACAATCCTTCATAGCTCCACAACCTTAGTTTATTCATTCATTATCAATAGATTTTCAGAGTCATACAGCAAATAATTGGTATAAGCAGTAAGCACTTAAATCATCTGATGTAACCAAAAGAAAACAAACACACCAAGTGTTTTGAAAAGCGGTGTGGTCATCAGGCTTACAGAGTGTAACGGTTGTGATGAACAAGCAAAAGTTTTAGTCGATGCACTTGGACAAAATTAACAACAGCATTCTGTATATTATCACGTGAAAATTCTCTCGTCGTATTAACTTGGTGTCCTTCAGATCAGTCCGGTGGACCATGGCTTACAGGAAGGTTAAGTGATTCATGTGGGCACATAAATGTGAACATAAAAATGATATGACATTTACAGGAATAAAACAGGTATAATAAACGAACCCACCTCAGCACCAGAAACAATGAAGATCAGTTCTCCACCTGTCTGATTGTCAACATTTCTTTTGTGCTTTTTCGCCGGAGGGTTGTGGCTACGAGTTAAATAATAATTTCTGACACATGGAAAAATATTTCTTTCGTACAAGTCTCTCTCGTCACAGTGTGTGAGAAGGCAGCGCAACACAAAGTCTTCACCGCCCGGTCTCTGCCTGAGGTGGAGCCACAGACAGAGCTTAATGAGACACCTTCTCATGGCATAAAACCTGATTAATCCGCAACCGTCAAGAACTATCCAGATTTCTTGTAGCACCTCCACATTTTGGGCTAAAAAAGTGTAACACTGAGACAAACGCGACAAGCTGCCGCCCAAACTGTAGCTCGTTTTTTGCTCCACACAAGCTGTACTTTCTCGTTCCTGAGCAGTGCGTCTGAAAACATTTGCCTCAATGAATGCACAGATTTTTTTGCATGATGTCTTTGACGGAAGCTGGACTTTTTCACTTTTTTTTTTTTTTTTTTTTTGGTAGTTGGGCTGGATTTATAGCAGTGTAGGTTAAAAAATAAATAATTTTTCAGCAGTTCAGGCTGCTAAAAGATAAAGAGCCAAACAGCGTATCCTTCAGTCTTGCATTAGCATTTCCCTCCAGTTGAAACTGTGATTGGGTCCATGTGTCAGAGGCAAGATGGGTGGGTCGACCAGCTGCCACACCCCGGTCTCTCCCATTTCTTCACAAGCGCAGAAACCCAAGTAAGGAATCTGCACAAAGAGGAGACAGATGTGCATGTTATCCAAGAGAAAGAGATGGAATTTGATAGAAATGAATGGAACGTTGGAAACCAAAGCAGCAAACTGACCTTTCGGACAACTTGGACAAAGTCCTTGGAGTTTTGGGGGCTGAGGCCTTGTATCTGGCGAGTGCAAGCCTCCAGGGAGGAAGCATGGGCCACAATCAGGACCGTGTTTCCTGTGTGAAAGAGGTAGAGAACATAGAACCACATTCCACAGATACCACCAGCTTACTTTACTGTTTATGGACTCAGCGGTCGATAATGTACAGTGTTAAGCTTCTCTGAAA